GGGCTGGAGTGATCTGCAATGGGTTTGCCCTACAAGTTTATGATCTTTTCACTTTTCATCTGTTTTTTTAAGTAAGCTAGACATCTAGAAAGTCATGATGCATCTCCTGTCCTCCCCTCCAAGTAAACAGCAAGCGGAGGAAGCAAGAGGTCCACTTCTGTCAACCAACACTGACACATCTCCCCAGCTCTTTCCTAGTCACCCTTCCTCAAATACCCTTCCCATCCCAGTGCTCAGGGCCAGGGCTGAGCATCTGTGCAGCAGGACAGGGAGCCGAGCAGCTGAAGCATAAGGCACCCAGCCAACGAGCTGCTGGACGGGGAAGGGCGGCAGAGCCGGGCCCGCACAGTCACATGAGAGAAATTCACTCCCTGGCAAGCAAAGTACAGGCACCAGTTTGGGTTTATATCTTGCTCTATTTGTAGGGAGGAATCTCAACTTCCTTTCCCATTAGCAAACTGGCTGCTTTTAGGGAAACTGCAATTACGTACCGCTGTCTCTTGCTGACAGCCCAGAAGAGCGTTTTGCCCAGAGCTCACCTCCTCAATGCACCAAGGTGATATAAGTGATCTGCATGTTTTAGAGACCTGGGCCAGTATTTTTCACGATGCCACAGATCCCCCAAAAGCCTAGAGGCGATTCCCTTCGAGTGCCTTCTGGCTAGAGAGGAGCTGGAGGTGCACAGTTCTTCCCCCGCTGGCTCAGCAGCAGACAGTCCCACACACAAAACCAAGGTGGAAACAAAGTTGTATGCTCAAGACACTCGAAGATTCCAATAATGATATGCTTCGGATCTGCACTCCTGCCACCTAGAAATGTTGTCACAAACATGAACATTTCAGCATATGTGTGGGAGGAGTGTTTTTAGAAAGTGGTTGCGTGTGTGCTCACCAGTACCTTAGGGAAAAAATGGTGATCAGCTTGAAATGCTATAAAGGATTCTAGTAGAAAATAGATAAAAGACATACAAATAAATTTATTTGCCCAGATTAATAAAACATGATCCATATATGATGAACGCATAAAGCTACACACTGCCATCTCTGTCCTTTTGCAGCCATGGAGGAGGGCACCATTATACCCATTGGTGATAACAGGCTTTGTAAAAGTAGCTCATTTTCTCCGGCCTTTTCCCACGTCACCGTGTCTGTGCCAGCGCTGCAGTGGAAGGTGGTGGCGTGACTCTCCCTGGCAGTCTGGGCACCCAGCAGCCTGCTGGAGCAGGAGAGAGGTGAACCTCCCTCCCCTGCCCTCCTCTCTGCCTCACTGCAGAGGTGGCTTTGCCAAGAAGGAGAATTTGTCCTCCTTTCCCAAGTGACCGTTAAAACACCGCAGGCATGGCAGACGCTCAAATCCTCCCTAAGATTTTGTGTGTCTGTCTGCCCCTTGGCACTGCAACCGTACAGCTGTGCGTGACTGCTGCCTCCCTCTGCAGGGAGCGGGACCATCCCAGGCACGGGTGGGAAGCTGCTCTGCACTGCTCAGGCATGGTGGGCTACCTGGTGAAACCGTAGTTTTACCAAGCCCATGCTGTGGTCTCTCCACAGCAGTGTTGCACTTCACCCGGGAGCTGCTTCTGAAGCTGTCGGCAACCAGGCCCGGTGCAGCCATGCAGCCCCTCAGCTGCAGCCGGCCTTGCTCCACCCGGGCCTGCAGCAGCAAGAGGTGTTAGCTGGGGCTGCCAGCTAGGATGACTAAGTCCTCTCATGGTGGGTGTGCCCAGGGCACGACCAATGGAGGCAATAAAGGTGTTTCCAAGACATGGTTTACGTCACCAGATACAAAGGTTTTTCCTGTACCTAATACTGGGGACGCCCAGCTGTTTTCTGCAACCCCCAGTGGATCCTCCCTGTTGGTGATGGGACCTTCCAGAAAGCCGGTCCATGGGATCACCCAGCTTCTCTCAGTAAAGCACAGGGGCTTGGCAGAGCCACCAGCGTTCTGTGGGGCCGGAGGACATGACCCAACCCAGGCAAAGGGGGCTCTGGACAGAGTGGATTGCACCTCTGGAGTGCCTTGGAGTTGTATCTTTTGCACTTCACAGACCGATACCTGAGGCCAGGATTGAGGAGAAAGGATGAGAGAAAAGGGGGAGGGAAGGGGAGGGCAGGGAAA